AAATGTATGATTCTTGTTGTGAATCCAGTAATATATTACTCGTATTATCAATAATTTCATGATTATTAGTCGCTTCGAAAGCTAGTGGACTGTCTGATGGGTACGTATAATTAAATCCTTTACTAGTATTCACATAAATGGTATCCAATTGGTCGACAGTCTCCTCATCAGTTGCCACAACTTTTCTCAAGTTTATCCGACTATTAGGTCTTGAAGTGTATTGAATGTATTCATACGGAGATAAAGGTTGCGTGCATTTGTTGATCACGAATAAGTGACAAAATGTCAACAAAATACTCAAATATTTCATAGTTTTCTTTTATCACAAAACATTGAATCCATAAAATGAGATAATTTTTGTTTGGAGTTGTAGAGAGAAATGAAAGTGAGTTTGCAGTGAGTTTTGTAGACAAATGAGAAATTCTTGACTTCGCTTATGGGACAGACATTAGTTTCATATAGAGATGATCAGAGGTGTCGGGGCTCTCAGTCGCTATTAATCATATTTACCAACTATTCCCCTAATTTATCTCCAATTCCCTATTTTTAGGTTAATTTGTTAAATATTTTATTAGTTTTTAAAATATAAATTTCGAAGCAATAAAATTAACACATTTGTTGTCCTAATAAATAATAACCTGGCGTAATATTTTTAATCAATGTTCTTGATTATCAAAGTAATATCTATGAGTACTGTGAGTGACCCCTAGAGACTGGTCACATCAGTATGTTTTGCAGTGATTTATATGGTTTCTAGACATCTATTATTAGAAGTCAAACCCTCTTTAAAAGACGATTGAATACAACATCAAATGTAATTAATGTGTCATTCATTAGAGTATTTAACGATCGCAACCACTATATAAGTCTAAGAAACTTTGAACCAAACTTTCGATTTTTAATTTATGGTCTCATATATGAAGTCATTTATTAAACTGATTCCCTCTTTCTCTATCCCATTGTGTCATCATTTTTAGACATTGCATGCAATCAATAGATGCGAACAATGACTGCGAGTTATAAAAGAGATACAGAAATGCCATTCACTCGCATTCAATGCACTTATGCCTACTATTAAATCGACTTTTTTCTTACTCTGTATTAATGTTAAGCCAATAGTAGATAATATAATTGATTATTTATTAATCATTAATATTAATAGTAATGTGGTTGCATGTTATAATTATAATTATATTCTATTTAATAGAATCTGAATGTGTAAATATAGTAATAATTGAAATATACTATGCTGTAAAATGCAAACACAATAAATATTTGTTCATTTAACAATTTGATAACACACAGTTATATAATAAAAAGTTATTATAGTATTTAATTATTATTCAAAATGTTGAGAAGGTAAGGTCTATTTTAAAATTATTGCATTAATTAAATTGAGTGTAATATAGTTTATAGATANCGTAGAAATAGCAAGAGATTAAAATTGAATCACAAATTAATTAGTTGTTCAGTTCAAATATAATTATTGTTGAACACGGTGGCAACAGCTATTTTTATAGGTTTTGACATTTTATTCAAATTACATTTACTTTAAATTCAGTACAATTTTATTAATTAAAGCGAATGGAAATTATTAGGCAAACGAAAAGGCATACAAGTTTCAACGTTAAACTATTTAAAACTATTAAAAACAAAAATACTTTTATATCAATACAAAATCGATAACAGAAATTTTTGATATGTCTTAACTTTTAACGATAGGGCATCATCGTGGAAAGTATAGATAGTCAATATTAATCGATACCTGTACATTTTAATCTTATACTACGTGCTCAAAGTTGCAAAAACTTGTCAAACTTAGCTTGATTACTCATTCAAAATATGATTAACACACTCATTTTCTAAAAAAACAATTTTGTATTTATTAAAAACAGAAACTTAATTAAAAATAAATGTATATAATTACTCAAACATGTGGTGCTATATTGAAAATGAGTATGTTAATCATATTTTGTATGAGTAAGCAAGCTAAGTTTGAAAAGTTTTGCAACTTCGAGCACGTAGTATAAGATTAAAATGTACAGGTATCGATTAATATCGACTATCTATACTTTCCACGATGATGCCCTATCGTTAAAAGGCAAGACATATAATCTATTTGATAATAAGATGCTGACAATTGTCTCGGACCGGGAGATCATGTAATTCCTTTCAAGTTTAAATTACCTGAAGAGTGAGTGTATAACAGTAATTAGATATTGACTGTAATGATAATAATGAAAATAATTTATGACAACAGAGGAATTCCCTCATCATTTGAGAGCATTCACGGAGCAGTTAATTATTACGTGGAGGCAGTCATTGATGAGCCCATCATCGATGAGGTGCACAGAATTGGATCACCACTTATAGTGGAGTCTCCAATCCGTGACAATCTTAATGTCTGTTATATCAAAACAATTAACCATTATATTCAATATTCAATATCTTCCATTTTTATACAGATATCTGTTGGTGGAAGTGCTGAGAAAGACTTGGCACTGTTTTGTTTTGGATCTGGATCAGTAATGAATACTAAATATTTAATAAATAATTATTTTTGGTAACAAAATTATATATATTTTATAGCTCACATTGTACGCCAATGTTTCTAAGAAAGGATACTTACCAGGTATTAAAAAATTATTAATAGAAAGCAATAGTATAAATATATAAACTTACTAGCGTTAGTATTTACTTTAATTACAAAATTTGACACTTAATTTGGACACCTTCTTACGAAAATGTAGGCGAAGTGGTGGAAGTGCACTGCAGTGTGGATAACGATTCATCAGTAGATGTGACCCCCAGACTAACACTATATCAGACACAGATCTATATGTGCGGCGAAAGACATAAATCCCTGGAAGTGGCTCTCACTGAATACATGGTCGGCAACAAAGTCACGAGTGAGACAAAAAGTATGGAAAGCCTATTCGTGACCATTCCTAAGAACGCCACGCTTACCATCAAAAGCGCGATCATTACTATTAAATATTTTATTCATATCACACTTGATATCCCACACGCCATCGATTTGCACATAAATCTTCCAATAATTGTTACCAATCGGTCGGCTCTGGGTAGTAATTGAGGTATAACTAAATGCACAAATTACAATACCTATACAAATATTCAGATTTACACAAATATAGAATTTGTTTATTTATCTATAAACTATATTACACTCAATTTAATTAATGCAATAATTTTAAAATAGACCTAACCTTCTCAACATTTTGAATAATAATTAAATACTATAATAACTTTTTATTATATAACTGTGTGTTATCAAATTGTTAAATGAACAAATATTTATTGTGTTTGAATTTTACAGCATAGTATATTTCAATACCTTCTCAACATTTTGAATAATAATTAAATACTATAATAACTTTTTATTATATAACTGTGTGTTATCAAATTGTTAAATGAACAAATATTTATTGTGTTTGAATTTTACAGCATAGTATATTTCAATGATTACTATATTTACACATTCAGATTCTATTAAATAGAATATAATTATAATTATAACATGCAACCACATTACTATTAATATTAACGATTAATAAATAATCAATTATATTATCTACTATTGGCTTAACATTAATACAGAGTAAGAAAAAAGTCGATTTAATAGTAGGCATAAGTGCATTGAATGCGAGTGAATGGCATTTCTGTATCTCTTTTATAACTCGCAGTCATTGTTCGCATCTATTGATTGCATGCAATGTCTAAAAATGATGACACAATGGGATAGAGAAAGAGGGAATCNTTAATAGTAGGCATAAGTGCATTGAATGCGAGTGAATGGCATTTCTGTATCTCTTTTATAACTCGCAGTCATTGTTCGCATCTATTGATTGCATGCAATGTCTAAAAATGATGACACAATGGGATAGAGAAAGAGGGAATCGGTTTAATAAATGACTTCATATATGAGACCATAAATTAAAAATCGAAAGTTTGGTTCAAAGTTTCTTAGACTTATATAGTCGTTGCGATCGTTAAATACTCTAATGAATGACACATTAATTACATTTTATGTTGTATTCAATCGTCTTTTAAAGAGGGTTTGACTTCTAATAATAGATGTCTAGAAACCATATAAATTACTGCAAAACATACTGATGTGACCAGTCTCTAGGGGTCACTCACAGTACTCATGGATATTACTTTGATAATCAAGAACATTGATTAAAAATATTACGCCAGGTTATTATTTATTAGGACAACAAATGTGTTAATTTTATTGCTTCGAAATTTATATTTTAAAAACTAATAAAATCTTTTAAAAAATTAACCTAAAAATAGGGAATTGGAGATAAATTAGGGAAATAGTTGGTAAATATGATTAATAGCGACTGAGAGCCCCGACACCTCTGATCATCTCTATATGAAACTTATATTTTTGGAGAGTCTGTCCCATAAGCGAAGTCAAGAATTTCTCATTTGTCTACAAAACTCATTGCAAACTCACTTTCATTTCTCTCTACAACTCCAAACAAAAATTATCTCATTTTATGGATTCAATGTTTTGTGATAAAAGAAAACTATGAAATATTTAAGTATTTTGTTGACATTTTGTCACTTATTCGTGATCAACAAATGCACGCAACCTTTATCTCCGTATGAATACATTCAATACACTTCAAGACCTAATAGTCGGGTAAACTTGAGAAAAGTTGTGGCAACTGATGAGGAGACTGTCGACCAATTGGATACCATTTATGTGAACACTAGTAAAGGATTTAATTATACGTACCCATCAGACAGTCCACTAGCTTTCGAAGCGACTAATAATCATGAAATTATTGATAATACGAGTAATATATTACTGGATTCACAACAAGAATCATACATTT